CTTATATTTCTCCCAGCAATGAAGGACCGCATGTTGGAAGCTACGAACATCGTTATTGGAGAAGAAAAGCATGTCAAACGGGTTACAATCAATCCAGACACACTCCAAGTGAAGAACCTATATGACTACAACAAAGAACACAAAATCATTTTTCAAAAAGCTCAACTTGAATACAGATTTCCTGGCCCTCCCAGTAGAACAGTGGAAAGATGATCCTGGCTTCTAAAATGCAGAAGCCAGTGTACAAGCTTTGTCTGTGATCAATGATCATGCAGAAAGAGGAGTAGCCTTAGTCCAAGATTTCTCAGGCCGCATCACCAAGGACGAACAGCAACTGCAGTATCTACTGCAGGCAGTTGCTGACCACAGGAAATCATTTCCTAATGCCCTCAAGCAGACCTTACTGGGCGACAAAGAGTGAGACTGGTCCTCATGCGACCCCTGCCTTGAGCAGCTAATACCCACTGAGACTAAGTGGGGGGGCCCAGGCTTGGGGGCTAGGAAATGATGTGTTATGAACATTAAGCATCGGCATAATATTGCTAAATTTCATTTGACTTGAGCAACGTCTAATTATTAAGATATGTAAAAAATATTTTACAGGCAATGTTTCTACCCGAAATGGAAACTTTTGCCAGGGTCTGTGACAAAAATATGGCAAATTTTGTTTTTTGCCCCAAAATAAGGACCACCCTAATATATATATATATATATATATATATATATATATATATATATATATATATATATATATATATATATATATATATATATATATATATATATATATATATATATTTATATATATAAATTTTAAAAAATACATATATATATATATATTTCATTAGCCCAATAAAGCACTTGGACTTCTACATATAATCAACACCTCACCCCACCAGGATTCAAAACCACGATCTTATAATTGTGGCCGGGGTATGCTACCTCTGGGCCACCAGAACAATAAAAGCAGTCCAAGTCTCTACTATATTTCACACAAAGCCTGTTCAACGACCTTATGGCTCCATGAACCTCTAATAGGGACCACTTGTGCCGCTTAGGTGATCAGAGCAACGTTTTACCAAATCCGGCTTCGAAACACGAGGATCCATATATATATATATATATATATATATATATATATATAACAACAACAATAATAATAACTAATAACATATATAATATACATATATAAATATATATATATATATACCATATATATATGCCATATATATATATATATATATATATATATATATATATATATATATATATATATATATATATATATATATATGTATATACTTATATATATACTTAATAATATATATATATATATATATATATATATATATATATATATATGAATATATATATATATATATATATATATATATATATATATATATATATATATATTTCATTAACTTAATAAAGCACACTTAGGACTTCTACATACAATCAACACCTCCAACCGCCAGGATTCAGACCCTTTACAAACCCGTATATATTTATATATATATATATATATATATATATATATATATATATATATATATATATATATATATATATATATATATATATATATATATATATATATATATATATATATATATTATAACACGTCGTATTTCCCTGTTTTAGGGATTCCGTTTTATATTCCATTGTAATTCTGCTTCAACATAACAACTACCACCACCAACATCATCACCACCACTACTTTCACTACAATTACCGTTAACAAATATTACCACTACTACCTCCACATCACCACTATTTGAGCACCAACACTACTATCACCACCATATCCCCATCAACATCACTGCCATCACCATCCCCATTATCATCACCATCCTCATCATCATCAACTTCACAATAATAATTACCTACGTACAAGACCAGCATTTCCACCTGACTTTAAAGGTAATCAATACCTGAGCATGTTTTCTTTTACCATTTTCTTTATGAACAAGTGCGCGACTCCCTCTCTCTCTGTCTCTTTCTATCTCTCTCTCTCTCACTTTATCAATTTATCTCACTCGCTTTCCTTCGCTTCCCTCTCTCTTCTCTTTGTTTTTTGTCTTTCGCTTCCTCTTTTTCACCCCTTTTCTCTTTCTGTCTTATACACCTCTCTCTCTCTCTCTCTCTCTCTCTCTCTCTCTCCGATATCCTCGGGGAAAACATGACCCAGGCAGTGACCTTTACTGACCCCCTGTTTATACATCAGAGAAGAAGAGGAAACAGAGGGAAATAACAAGATAATATTTTTCCTATATGAATTCTGACCGAAAGCGAGATATTGTGTTTGTTATTTCTTCCGTATTTCTTATATTTCTTTTTATCTTTCATTTATTTCTGTAATTTTCAGTTTTGTTTCCCTTTTTTTCCTTTAATTTAATAGAGGCCTTTGATGGTGCAGCGTCCGACCACATTAAGGAGAAGTCTATCGGAATTGAAAAGCTTACTCAGAGTTCAACGGACAGACAGGCATACAGACATCCAGTTAGGCAAAGAGGCTGGCATACAGACATCCAGTTAGACAGAGAGACTGGCATACAGACATCCAGTTAGACAGAGGCTTTGACACTGTCGACCATACCATCCTCCTTTCAAAGCTTGAACATTGCGGCGTTAGGGGCCCGTCCCACAATTGGATTACCTCATATCTGTCCAACAGGAAGCAGTATGTTTGCTATAATATTCACCAATCTGACTCCTCGCCAATCTTGTATGGCGTCCCCTAAGGTTTCATTCTCGGTCCAGTACTGTTTTTGTTGTACATAAACGACATAGTCCACGCCAGCACACTCATAAAATACAACTTATTTGCAGATGATAGTGATCTCTATGCCAGCAACTCAGACCTCCAGTCCTTGATGAGAACTATGAACACTGAATTAACTAAAGTCGGGACCTCGGTAATAATACATAGTAAACTGATCTTAAACCTTGAGAAAACCCACTACACGATCTTTCACAGAAGAAAAAACTTACCCCAAGACTTGGACCCCCTGTACCTTGGTAATACAGTCCTCAAACGCGAACAAAATACTAAATTCCTCGGAGTTATTGTTGATGAGAAATTTAACTGGAGAAACCACATACAAGTCATTCACAGCAAAGTCAATAAATAGTGAGGTATCATGTATCACACTCGACAGTCACTCACTCTCACAGCAATGAAAGAAATCTATCATGATCCTGTTTACCAACACCTGATACACTGTCACACACTATGGGGGGCCTCTGGCTCTTCAAAAACACAATCTCTGGTTACTGCACAAAAGAGAGTTGTACGGACAATGAGCTACTCGAAAAAAACAGATCACACAAACGAAAAATTTGCTAAATTTAAAATGTTAACATTAGAAGATATTAACACCTACTGATGTGCCCTCTTTGTTTGCAAATCTATCAATCACTTGCTTAACAATAATTATTGCCAGTTCCGGAATAATCAGAGATACTACTTAAAGCACTCAGAGCTACTAAGACCACCCCCGCGCGCTCCTCTCAGTCCCAGACCTCCATAAAATATCACGATGTGAAGGTGTGGAACAACTTACCCCCACCCATCCGAGCAAAGACTAGGCTCCCTTTATATTTCTTGTAACACTCACTGTATTTACAGTACCTGCTTTTATTGTACCATCAAGACCGTTTTATCGGAAATTGTCATGTAAATAGATAAGAAATTACCATTGCAATAATATATTTCCCAACTAAACATAATCCTGACAGCTCTGTCCTCTTGTTCAACCTTAATACTGTACAACCCATGTTGTACTACTTCCCCATTATACTTGAAGTTTTCAATTCCACTGTAATTTATGTATATATTTATAATATAAATAAAAAAATTAACTAAAAAAATAAAATAAATAAATATTGAAGTGATAACAGTGGTAACATTATGAGATGTTCTTATTACCACCATGCTATTGTACTATTCCAGATGATACTAAATGTTACATAATACTTCCTTGAGATAAATGTATAGTATATATCAGGTGCCTAAAAGAGAGCTCAGGTTCTCAACTGGCTCAGCCATGTTAATATTGTTATTATTATCCACTCTGTATCTGTGTTTTTCTGGCTTAATTAACTGTTTCAAACTATTTAATTCAATTCACACACACAAACACACACACACACACACACACCCACACTGTATCTCAAATAATTAAAAACTCCAACACTGATTATATAATCTTGAGGTGACGGTAATGTAGATATATTATGATACTATGCCCTCTAAAATAATGATGATTAATAATACAATATATAGATAAAGTAAGAATAAATAAATGTTTATAGAGTAAACCAGAAAAATGTCCCTGCCTCCCTGCCTCCCTCCCTCCCTCCCTCCCTGCCTGCTCCCTGAAGCACTGTGAGTTGGAGGGAGGGAGGGGGGGGAGAAGGGACATTTCTCTGAGACACCCTATATATAGTAAGTCCTCACCTGGAAACAGAAAAAAAAAGTTATTCCTTGTTAGGGAAAAAAAAATCCAGCGACTTGTGAAGGAGTAACTAAAAGGTCAAGTGTACTCAACATCTGGTCAGGAGGATCGCAACATATACATATTTCAGAGGTAATATTATGACACAAACCCTCCTCCCATTTCCTCCTAACATAAGAATTTATTTTAATCAACGAAGTTCTGTGTGTCGAGCCATTGTTGACAGTAAAAAGTGAATAATTGTGTGTGTTGATACATTAAGGTTGTAACTGTATACGAGAGAGTACTTGCTTCTATAATTCTGTTTTAATGAATGATAAATAAGTTGTATGAGCTATATAATACAGCCAGTCAATAGTGAGGCAATAGGATTAGAAAATGAATAAATGAATGAGTAGAAAATAATACAAGATTATATAACACTTTATAATCGAATAATTTGTTGGTAATAAAGTTAAATAAAGTAACACACACACACACACACACACACACACACACACACACACACACACACACACACACACACATGATAATACTCACATTCTTCTCCCAGCTGATCTTGTAAGGGTCGGGATTGGCTGTGACGCGACACTCGAAGTACACGTCATCACCCTGCTTGATGGAGCTGGGCACCAGGTTCCTGCCCATCTCCAGCACCACGATGGGCGCGTCTGTGAGGGAGAGGAGATGGCGAGGAGTGAGTCATAGGTGAGAAACGATGAGGAGTGACTCGTAAAATGGTGGAGAGAATGAGTTTTTTTTTTTTTTTACGGGGATTAGCCCACCCGGGCACGGGGTCAGTGACCCACATCGGGGCCTGGGGGGCGAAAAAGTAATAATAATAATAATAATAATAATAATAATTGTAGGAGATAAGAGAACAAATTGGGATGGAGGAACATTTTAGAGAAAAGAGTTAGTCGTAGTACGAGTATGTTGAGGTAGGAACATCATGTACAACGAACGAAGGAAAGGCTGGGGAAGAGAACGTGTAAGAGGAAAATAGAGAGCAAGATAAAGAGATGAGAAAGAGGAATTACGTGGTGAGCCACAACTGAAAGAGATTTGGAAAGATCAGTAGAAGATGGCTGATAGAGCACACCGATGTAGGAGGGTTGGGACGGTGGCAAATGTCTGGCCTGGACCACACCAGGAGAGGACTATATATATATATATATATATATATATATATATATATATATATATATATATATATATATATATATATATATATATATATATATATATATATATAAGCTCCCTTTAGCTGCTCGTCTGTGTCAATGTTGATGTAAAGATCAAAGAAGAAAATTTTGATGTGTCCAAAAAAATTCTGGCGTGTGTATGATTTACAAAGTGGTTCAGAATAAATGGACAGAGGAGCTTTAAAACAAGAACAGAGCGGCTCCTCTGTATACATGACGCATAAACGTAAATTGTTTGTTAGGTTGAGGTTGCTGAAGGACTGCTGGCTATCCTGTATGATGTACCTGGCACGAGTAGTGTCCGCTATAGAACAGGTAGAGATGTAGGTAAATTTGTTCCCTGAATATTATGCTTATCTATCCCCTCTCGGGTGAGTGCAATCACTGATGGCCAATCAATGGTAATCTTATGCTCTTCATAGCCAATAGACGTCACGCTAAACAGCATTTCCAGAAAAAGATAGCCAACCACAGCCACTTACAGCCTCACTTCACTGTTCTTAGGTGAGATTAAGGACTCATAACCAACACACGACTCACTTAAATTACTCTCTTTTGTAAACCTTCCCTGAATAATAATAATAATAAAATTAATAATAGTTAGAACAACAACAACAAGAAAAATAAGAAGAATAAGAAAAAACAAGAACAAGAAGAACATTAATTATAATACATGTTCCCCTCACCTCCATTCCTTCTACTCGGTAACATATTTACCTTCTTCTTCACCGCCTCTCTCACTCACTGAACACAATAACATTCTTCATCATCATCTCACTCACTACTGCTTCTCTCAACTATGACAAAAATGCCTCTCATCCACCCCCACCCCCCACCAGGACCTTCTCTCATCCACTCTTACACCCCCCACCCCCACCAGGACCTTCTCTCATCCACTCTTACACCCCCACCAGGACCTTCTCTCATCCTCCTTCCACCCCCCACCCACCAGGACCTTCTCTCATCCTCTTACACCCCCCACCCCACCAGGACCTTCTCTCATCCCACTCCTTACACCCCCCCACACAGGACCTTCTCTCCTCCACTCACCCCCCAGGACCTTCTCATCCTCTTCCCCCCACCCCCCACAGGACCTTCTCTCATCCTCTTACACCCCCCCCCCACCAGGACCTTCTCTCATCACTCTTACACCCCCACCCCCACAGGACCTTCTCTCATCACCCCCACCCCCCACCAGGACCTTCTCTCATCCACTCTTACACCCCCCACCCCCACCAGGACCTTCTCTCATCCCCCTCAAATAAAGTTCTCTCTATCTCTCTCTTTACCATAATTTATCTTTCTTCAATTTCCTTTTATCTTCAGTTTCTCCTTATTCTCCACACTCTCCTCTTTACTCTCCTTCCCCTACCTTATCATTTATCCCTTTATTATTCCTCTCCTCCTTTTTCTTTATGTCTCTGTCAATTCCGGAGTTCTCCATGGTTCAACACTAGCACCCAATCTGTTCCTTTACAAAGATTAATGATAATCTTTGAGTGACTAGTAACTGTATTCATTCCCTTCCTCCTCCAATCTACTTCTACCTTGACATTACGTCCACAAGGTAGAATATGATGGGGGGGGGGGCTTCAACCCTCTTCCTGCCTTATCATACTGAGGAGTGAGGGGGAGAATCTGCGACCCTTTACCTTATTCATTGTCTGTTTATCTCCTCCTCCGACCCAACCCTCACTTCTCCTCCCCCATGTCAGAGAGTGAAGGGCGGCAAGCACACTCAAGGTACGCCTCTGAAGGGTGTTTGTTTTTTTCTTGGACCAGATATTGTGTAGTGGAGAAACATATGAAATTAAATTACAGTTATAACCACCAGGAAATCAAGTACCAAAACATGTCATTATTTTACTATCTCGAGGACCAGTGTGTAGATATATAGGGGAGTCATCATGTTGAGGGAAGTACAATGTTCCTCCACCACCAGGATACAATGTTTATACTCTTACTGTACACCTGGGTCTTGGTAGCCCCCGGGCCCTCAGCACAGGGGAGGAAGGTGAAGTATTCAACTCAACGAGGACCCTTTTTAAGCTCTTCTCCCCTTCCCCCTCTTACACCAATCAGCTTTGCTTGCACTTTTCCTTAACTTTAATCTCTCAACATTTTTACATTATAAACACTATAAAAATTACTGTATCAGTTATGACGAAAGATTTAACCGTAACAAAAAACTTGGTACGAAAGGTCAGTTAAACCCAATGCAAAGATTAATTAGGAAATGGAGGAGAAGACGAAAGAAAACGTTGATCGTAATCCAAAACTCATTATCTAAATAAGATGTAAAAACATTTCATACTGAGAATTTTAGTTAACTTTTACGTTTTTCTGTATTTGAGATTAAACAAAATATTAAAACAGAAATATATAATAAAATGGAACTATAAAAGACTATGTTCCAACTCTCACAGCCTCTTATTACGAACACATGAAGATTAACCCCCCAGTCTATTTCACCTTAAGGTTAACCACCATAACGTAAACCTAACCTAAACTAACGTTCCCTAACCTAACCACTCCTAACGTAACCTTATAAACCTAGCTTAAACTAAACCAAACCAGACATAATTCGTGTAAATCAAACTCACATATCAGAGGTTTTACTTACATATAAACAAAGAAAACACACACACAAACTTACAGTGCACTTTAAGGGAGACGGAATCAGAGATGGCACTGCCTGGCACTGAGGGGTTGCTGGCCTGGCACTTGAGTATTTTACCGTCGTCGTGTTGGCTCGGTACTATGATCATTGAGCCCGTAGTTATCTCTCCTGGACTGGATCTCTGTAGAGGGAGAGACGTACGGTGTGGTTAGGTTAGGTTAGAGTGAAGGAGTAGAGCGTAGACACTGAAGAAAATTGTTAGAAAGAAAGAACAAAAGAAATAAATGAAAAAAGTGCTGATTTAAGTAATTAAGAGTGTAGACATAAGAACAGAAACGTGTGTGTGTGTGTGTGTGTGTGAGTAAGTGTCTGTTTGTATGTATGTGTGTGTTTCTAAGAGGTTGCACAAGTGAGATAATAACTGTGTACTGCGTGTCAAACATGAAGGGTCATTTACATACACACAGCTGCCTGGTTAAGGGCACTCTGCTGTGACCCAATTTGTGTACGTCTGTGTGTGTGTGTGTGTGTGTACTAGACTGTAAATCAACACAGATGGAATGTGAAATAAGATCCACTTTGCCCCGTGCAGGATTCAACCCAAGCGTCTGAGAGTGAGTGGTTGGCGAGGTAGATACTGTACATGTGGATAATAAATGGCTAAAAGTGGTGCGTGTGACCCTGACCCTGGCACGAGGCGCTAGAAGGTTAATCTGACCTGAGTCATTGAGTACAGCAGTGAAGCTCGAGGAAACGAAAGAGCAGGAGTAAAAGAAGAACAACAATAAGAAGGTAGAGAAGAAAACAGAAATCACCAGGATGAATAATACCGTAACAAGGAGAAGAACAAGAGGAAGAAGGAAGAAGAAAAATAAATAAAAATAAGCCTTTTGTCTTCACTCACCGACGGAGTTGAAGTATTTATGTAAAAGAAATATCAAGTTATCTCAGGTTTGTAAAGCTTAAGCTGTATTAGTTATATTAGTCTAAATTATAAGAATACTCAGTTATAGAAAGTTTGAATTATAGTAAAAATCGATGATAGGTAAACTCTCTTACGTAAAGTTAGTGATATACAGACTAAGTTACGATAAATTTAAAACCTCAAAAAAGTCCAATATATAAATAGTCAAATTACCGTAAGTCCAAGTCCATAAGTAAAACAGACTCATATGACTCTTGAGATATAAAAACAAAAATCAGAAAAATCTGTCTTGTAAGTCCAGTTCTTGGAAATATCAAAGCCTAAGTCAACATACCTATTACGTTAGGTCAAAAGAACTTTCCTGAATAAGACTTCCTCTGTGTAAATCATTAAAGGGAATGTTCTAATTGTGATTAAAAGAAAATTTTCACAAGGAATTATCAACTACATATAAATATCTGAACAAAGTAAATTCAAGTGATATTTAGACCTTTTAGGCCGATGAGTTTAAAGTCTAAGGAAAATGTCACCTTCCTCCATCATATCGAATGGGGTGAATTCATCATATTTAAAGGGCTAAGTCATCGTAATTAGGGGCTTTAATTATTGTACTCAAGGGATTAGGTGTTCGTACTCAGGGGGTGAAGAAATCTTGTTAACTGGGTTGATTCATCGTCGTAGAAGGAAGGAACTGTACTCAAGGGATTGAACTATATTATTCAGGAGTTAATTCACTGTACAGTAGGTGCTGGAGAATTGGGGGAGGGGAGAGAGGAAAGACGGGAGGAGGGAGACAGAACGGGTGGAGGAGAGAGGAACAGAGGAAGGGAAGGAGGGAGGGAGGGAGGCGAGGTGGAGGTACAGCAAATGAAGGCGTGAAGAAGCGAAAACAAAGAGATAAAAGGTGAAGTTGATTGATTGGATAAACGAAAGGAAGAAAACAAAAAAAGAAACAGGGGAAGTTATTCACCCGATGTGTGTGTGTGTGTGTGTGTGTGTGTGTACATGAACGTAGGAGACAGGAGGAAGAGTTACTCACTGTGTGTGTACGCATGACATCCACTTCGCCCTTCTCCTCGAACCACTTGATAAGCGCCTCCGGCTTGGATCCCTGACTCTCACAGGTGAACGTGTACTGACGACCAGCTATCAGTGGCTCGTCCCCCACCTTGATCCTCACACTCAGGGGGCGTACTGCAGGGGGCCAGAGGTGAGAGGGCGTCAGTGGAGATGATTAAGGATGAGTGGGAATGGTTAAGGGGACCAGAGGTGAGAGGGCGTCAGTGGAGATGATTAAGGATGAGTGGGAATGGTTAACGGGGACACAGGTGAGAGGGCGTCAGTGGTGATGATTGGGAGTGAATGGGGTTTATAAAAGACTTAATTATGATGATATATAAATACTTAACATAATCACTCACTATTGATGTTAACATGAACAGAGAAGATAACAAGACAATAAGATAAATACAAGATAATAAATACCCGATAAAGTTCCATAAAGTTTAATTGTGATCTTAAAACTACAAGTCTATCATCACTAAAACTCACAGTTCATCTCTATGGTGACTTCTTCTACAAGTTTCTGTTGCTTGTTGTTCTGGGCCTGGCAGGAGTAAGTCTTCTCGTGGTGGGTACGTGTCACTTCCTCAATAAAGAGGTCGGATTTCACGTGTCCTTCTCTGGTGAGCTCGTAATCACGTTCTTCCAATACTCTCTCTGACCACCAGGTGACGGACGGCGGTGGACGACCTGGTGGTAAATGAAGAGGGGTTAAGGGTGTACGACCTGGTGGTAGATAAAGAGGCTTAATGGTGGACGACCTGGTGGTAGATGAAGAGGGTTAAGGTGGACGACCTGGTGGTAGATGAAGAGGGTTAAGGTGGACGACCTGGTGGTAGATGAAGAGGGTTAAGGTGGACGACCTGGTGGTAGATGAAGAGGGTTAAAGGTGGACGACCTGGTGGTAGATGAAGAGGGTTAAAGGTGGACGACCTGGTGGTAGATGAAGAGGGTTAAAGGTTGATGACCTGGTGGTAGATGAAGAGGGTTAAGGGTGTACGACCTGGTGGTAGATAAAGATGCTTAAAGGTGGACGACCTGGTGGTAGATGAAGAGGGTTAAGGTGGACGACCTGGTGGTAGATGAAGAGGGTTAAGGTGGACGACCTGGTGGTAGATGAAGAGGGTTAAGGTGGACGACCTGGTGGTAGATGAAGAGGGTTAAAGGTGGACGACCTGGTGGTAGATGAAGAGGGTTAAAGGTTGATGACCTGTGGTGATGGAGGGAGATGATGATGGTAAGCGGGTGAGTGACTCATGAATATATAAACCTGTGGTCTGGGATGGAATACTTAATTTGCCTACCTGGTGACCAAGATAAATGACACAGGAGTCTCTACTACGTCCTGGTTCACACACCATCATGATATATTTGTCAGGAGGAAGTTGTGTAAGTTATATTGTCATCTGTTCATTCATTCCTCCGCTCCACAACTCTGATCTTAGGTGTGAATTTGAGGGAAGATGTTCTCAAGTGATAACCCAAACTTAGGAGCGAGCGGACCACCGGCCACACTTGTAAATTTTCCTTCCTTGAGAGGGAGATATTGTCGCCTGGAGGACAATGTGGCGTGCTGGGTAAGGCCATAACGCTCGCAAATTGGTGAATCCAGGTTCGAGTTTGGGATGTGGAACAGAGATGGCGAATATTTTATTCAGGATGTATACCTTGGAAAGGAAAAGATTTCTTGGGGACGCGACACATATTTTTCCTCCTCTTTGAGTTTTTTCTTTCATAATAATTCGAATGATAACAATGATAAAAGGCAGAAAGGTAATTTATGTACCACAAAATAAGATACATTTAGGACAGTAAGATGTACCAAGTTATGTACAGACATTAAGTGAACCTTAAAATCAGTCAGTCAACAGTTAACTCTAATACCCAAGAGGACGGTGTATTGTATAACTGAACCGCGAAATAAACAGCAAAATGGATTTAAAAAACAGCAGTGGTCTGGTTCGCAAAAAGCATGACACAAGTGATATCTGGTCGCTTCATTGTATATCCTACAAACAATATTTGGTCCTCTTAATGGGCTAAAAAACGTGGAATATCCTTACAGCAATACATATAATATCCGTCGCGCTAAATGCACCAAATACATATAATATCTGGCTTGTGCAATGGACCAAATACATACAATATATGTCCCGCGAAATGGAACAGGTGGACGCGGGCCACGACGAGGTACAGAACTGCATATTGAGTCACCATCTGGAGGGAAGATCGATCCTTCTCTGGTTGATGATCCAGTTTACACTCTACAATAATATTGTTCACATATATTATTTGTTGTCATAGATACGAGGGCGAGAAAATATTGTAGCGGATGATAGATGTAGTGACATTATTTTTTCCTTATAGATTTTAGCAGAAAAGTAAGAATATGTGGTAATATATATTGTCAATGTAAACCTGGAGTATGTATGTGATATAAAATGTTGTGATAAAGTGCATGATATATGATGATATAGTGATGGTAAAGGTAATAAAATTTTTTACACTGGAGATGTTTTATGTGAATAGTGAATATATATGATAGTGACAATATATAAGAGTGGTGGACATTACTACATTACTGTATTTTAGGTCAGAAAAGTTACCTTGTACCTTGAGACTTGACGAACGCACACACACACCCATAAAACACCTCCTTCCCTTCCCTTTCCTTGACACAACACGAACATTCACACATAATATTCTCTAAACAAACATCAACATTATCACCTTCTTATGGCACGAGAGAACACAAACATTTCATACCCAAAACATAGACAAAACATTCTTCTCTTGACGTTACGAATTTTATGTACTGAATCTGTCCTCGTGAAAAATTTGTCTGAGATTCCTGGAGTTATTTCTTCTGGCAACGAGACGATGCATATAGACAGGAAGATCCAGATGAGTGTGTGTCAGGTAACGACAGACAAGACAGGTGGCACTGCTTAGTTCCCTCACGCCTGATGTACTCTCTCATAAACTTCTACATTCATGGTCTTGCCAGCTGTTACTTCTGATGCCATCATTTTGTTATCCCTTGTTGTTGATTCTGTACAGTGTTACAGCTGGTTAAATGCTGTATGTTACTGTCACTCTTTGTAATGTTGCAGATGTGACGTGTGATAGCAAGAACAAAGCAGAAGAAGACAACATCCACAATATAACAATAGGAGAGAACAGGTGGATTAAATTAGGGTTCAAGACACAGTGCAGGGCGGTAACAGGGAGAGAGGCGACAACGTGAGGACACTGATTTGTACACAGGGACATAGCAACCATCTGGGAAACACTATGGAAAGGAAGTCGAAGATGAAAGGAGAGAGATAAAAGGTGATTGATTCTAGCTCACGTGTAACCCTTGTAAGAACCTTTAATAAAATAAAAGTGTTCCTTTGAGTTAAGATTTGATATGAGGTAGTAACAAGGCAGAGATAGATGGCGTCATTCATATCCCTGCCTTATGCCTTTTATTATTTTAGACGGTGGAGAGAGGAGGGGGGAGGAGGGGAAAGAGAGAGAGAGAGAGGGGAGAGAGAAAGGGGGAAGAGAGAAAGACGGAGGATAGAGAGAAGACGGAGATAGAAAGACGGGAGAGAGAGAGAGAGAGAGAGAGAGAATAACACACAGGACAGCGAGATGTAACAATACGATAAAGCCAGACATCAGTTACAGGAGGGTCCAGAACACCGCCAGCTGCCGCACTCACCAAACACTGGCAGACTGAGACGCTGGGAGTATGCAAGTCTACAATACTGGAAGCAGCCAGAGCACCCAGCTGACATCCATAACAAAGACTTGGCAATTGAAGGACTGAAAGACTGGGAAACTTATGGACTAAAAAAATGGAAATTGGAAGACTTTAAGACTGGAGAAGGCAAAGGCAGTTAACTGAAAGAATAGAAGACTGGAAGGCTGAATGAATGGCTGGGTAGGGAGAGAGAGGGAGGGTGGGACAGACGTGTGTTACAGAGACAGGAGCAGGACACCGCTCACTGAAGCATGTTCTTCGTGTGTATCTCCTACATCTCTGTGGTCATATACATAGAGAGAAAGAGAGAGAGTCGGGGAAAGAGAACACATAAATACTGATAAATACAGGAGTAGATATAGAGAAAGAGAAGCAGAACGCGCAGTCGTCAGGAAAGAGACAGGTGAGAAAGGTATGAAAAAATAATTAACTCCACAGTGAGGAAAATCTAAATAATATATATATATATATACAACAGCCTGGCATGAGCTCACACACTCACCACACCCACCAATCAACTTTCCCTCACTATCCCTAAACATTATGCTGTAGTAGACGACGCCCTCTGTTTCATCATACACACTTGAGTACAGGTCAGAAAATTATAACGAGGGATTTTCTACTAGGAGGATATAGTTGAGTGCCACCCAAGACTAACTAAGAGGAGTAAGGGCGTCTAGTGTTTTAGTGAGTGCTGATTAGTGCTGATTAGTGCTGACAAGGCGAGGTTAAGTGGTTGTAAGGTGGCGATATAACTCACTTGGAATAAAATGGAAGAGGTTTAAATTGAGGAAGCTTTAGAATTATGTGGGCTGGGATAGAAAGTTAATAGCACGGAACAGAATAATGGAAGGGCAGAAGGAGGGTTATATGGACAGCAAAATAAACACCAGAATAAAAAGAAAACAAAACAAAATGATAAATCAATAAGACTGAAACTTTTGGTTCCTTGTTAATAGTAAAGGAAGCATAATAAATAAAAACAATTAAAGTATATAACTGAACAAGAAGGACAGTTAGAGATAGTCCGGGAAACAGGAGGGATAGATAGAAGGAAAGGGGGGATAGAAGGTATCAGGGAAGGGAAGAAGGGGAGGGGAGGTAGAAGGTATCAGGGAAGGGAAGAAGGGGAGGGGAGGTAGAAGGTATCAGTGAAGGGAAGAAGGGGAGGGGAGGTAGAAGGTATCAGAATAATGGAAGGGCAGAAGGAGGGTTATATGGACAGCAAAATAAACACCAGAATAAAAAGAAAACAAAACAAAATGATAAATCAATAAGACTGAAACTTTTGGTTCCTTGTTAATAGTAAAGGAAGCATAATAAATAAAAACAATTAAAGTATATAACTGAACAAGAAGGACAGTTAGAGATAGTCCGGGAAACAGGAGGGATAGATAGAAGGAAAGGGGGGATAGAAGGTATCAGGGAAGGGAAGAAGGGGAGGGGAGGTAGAAGGTATCAGGGAAGGGAAGAAGGGGAGGGGAGGTAGAAGGTATCAGTGAAGGGAAGAAGGGGAGGGGAGGTAGAAGGTATCAGTGAAGGGGAAGAGGGGAGGGGAGGTAGAGGTATCAGTGAAGGGAAGAAAGGGGGAGGGGAGGGTAGAGGTATCAGTGAAGGGAAAGAAGGGAGGGAGGTAGAAGAATATAGTGAAGGGAAGAAGGGGGAGGGAGGTAGAAAGGTATCAGTGAAGGGAAGAAGAGGGGGAGGTAGAAAGGTATCCAGTGCAGGGAAAGAGGGGGAGGGGGTGAAGGTATCAGTGAAGGGAAGAAGGGGGGAGGAAGGTAGAAGGTATCAGGGAGGAAGAAGGAGGTAGAAGGTATCAGTGAAGGGAAGAAGGGGGAGGAGGTGAAGGTATCAGTGAAGGGAGAAGAAGGGAGGGGGAGGTAGAAGATGTCAGGGAAGGGGAAGAAGGAGGGGGGAGGTGAAGGTATCAGTGAAGGGGAAGAAGGGGGAGGGAGGTAGAAGGTATCGGTAAAAAGAAGAGGAAGAAGGGGAGGTAGAGAGTATCAGTGAAGGGAAGAAAGGGGAGGGAGGGTAAGAAGGTATCAGTGAAGGGAAAGAAGGGGAGGGGGGAGGTAGAAAGGTATATCAGTGAAGGGAAGAAAGGGGAGGGAGGTAGAAAGGTATCAGTGAAGGGAAGAAGGAGGGTAGAAGGTATCAGTGAAGGGAAGAAGGGAGGGAAGGTAGAAAGTATCAGGAAGGAAGAAGGGGAGGGAGGTAGAGAGGTATCAGTGAAGGGAAGAAGGGGGAGGGGGAGGGTAAAGGTATCAGTGAAGGGGAAGAAAGGGGAGGGAAAGGTAGAAAGTATCAGGGGAAGGGGGAAGAAAAGGGGAGGGAGGTAGAAGGTATCAGTGAAGGGAGAAGAAGAGGGGAGGGAGAGGTGAAAGGTATCAGTGAAGGGAAGAAGGGGGAGGGAGGTAGAAGGTATCAGTGAAGGGAAGAAGGGGAGGGGAGGTAGAAGGTATCAGTGAAGGGAAGAAGGGGAGGGAAGGTAGAAAGTATCAGGGAAGGGAAGAAGGGAATGTGAGGGGGCAGAGGAGAGGGTTGGTGGAGGATAGGGAGGATATTGATAGTAGCAATAAGCTGCCTCCTGACCCCCTCGGGGACACTCTGCCCCTTTAATAATGTATAGGTTAAGCTGAGACCTTCCGCCTGGGGTCTTCCACTTGGCTCTGTTTGATACACCTGCCTCTGATTCTGATCTTGTTCACACACCATTACTATCCTGTTCATACACCATTACTCTCCTGTTCAAACACCATTACTCTCCTGTTCACACACCATTACTATCCTGTTCATACACCATTACTATCCTGTTCATACACCATTACTATCTTGTTCATACACCATTACTCTCCTGTTCACACACCATTACTATCTTGTTCATACACCATTACTCTCCTGTTCACACACCATTAGTATCCTGTTCATACACCATTACTATCCTGTTCACACACCATTACTATTCTGTTCACACACCATTACTATCCTAATTAACGTAATTGAATGAGCAATATCATAAGAGAAATAACATATTTTATTTACAAGGCACGAGTGAATATTTATCGAGTCAACGCAAATCATAATCATGTTGTGATGGTCAATCCAGAGAAAAACCCAACGGGAACTGACTTTAAGAATGACAAAGAGGTTGGTGTACTCAACTCACTAGGTCAGTGGCTTTATTCTTATGTTAATCCCGAGTATCAAAAGTTAATTTGATATAGATTATACACATCAGACATGGAGCACCTCTGTAGGGTAATACATATGAACTATATTTAAACTAAGCTTGCCTACTACATTAATGAGAGGGATAAGAGCTGTAAATTGTAGCTGGACGAAACATTAAAGAGAGGGATAATAGATGAAGTGTAGCTGGACGAAACATTAAAGAGAGGGATAATAGATGAAGTGTAGCTGGACGAAACATTAAAGAGAGGGATAATAGATGAAGTGTAGCTGGACGAAACATTAAAGAGAGGGATAATAGATGAAGTGTAGCTGGACGAAACATTAAAGAGAGGGATAATAGATGAAGTGTAGCTGGACGAAACATTAAAGAGAGGGATAATAGATGAAGTGTAGCTGGACGAAACATTAAAGAGAGGGATAATAGATGAAGTGTAGCTGGACGAAACATTAAAGAGAGGGATAATAGATGAAGTGTAGCTGGACGAAACATTAAAGAGAGGGATAATAGATGAAGTGTAGCTGGACGAAACATTAAAGAGAGGGATAATAGATGAAGTGTAGTTGGAAACGAAACATTAAAGAGAGGGATAATAGATGAAGTGTAGCTGGACGAAACATTAAAGAGAGGGATAATAGATGAAGTGTAGCTGGACGAAACATTAAAGAGAGGGATAATAGATGAAGTGTATGGACGAAACATTAAAGAGAGGGATAATAGATGAAGTGTAGCTGGACGAAACATTAAAGAGAGGGATAATAGATGAAGTGTAGCTGGACGAAACATTAAAGAGAGGGATAATAGATGAAGTGTAGCTGGACGAAACATTAAAGAGAGGGATAATAGATGAAGTGTAGCTGGACGAAACATTAAAGAGAGGGATAATAGATGAAGTGTAGCTGGACGAAACATTAAAGAGAGGGATAATAGATGAAGTGTAGCTGGACGAAACATTAAAGAGAGGGATAATAGATGAAGTGTAGCTGGACGAAACATTAAAGAGAGGGATAATAGATGAAGGAGGTGAATGATGATAAAGAGACCATCATTAAATCGATCTGATGGAGACTAGTATTTTGAAAATCATCGGTTTAGACATTTAAGTTGGTTTTTCCTTCTATTTTCTTCCTATACGTTTTATTTTCATTGCCTTCACCGGTGTGTGTGTGTGTGTGTGTGTGTGTGTGTTCTCTTTTGTGTGATATAGTTGGTGAAATTTGTCATGTTCAGAGGTATGGGAGGGAACTGGGGGTAGAGACTGCAAGGTGTGATTAATTTCTGCATTTATCGTCCAACACGGGCAGGTAGAACACACATCACTTGTAATTACTTTCACCTGAGCCTGCAGCTGCCTCTCTCTCTCTCTCTCTCTCTCTCTCTCTCTCTCTCTCTCTCTCTGCCTTTCACTGACTCTAATAAAGAAATTGATCACCAAGAATTATGTAATCGAAATACCAGAGTTTATTATTGTCTGTTGTGGTTTGTCTTCCACTAGAAACTCGTATAGAAGAAAATTGATTGAAGAAATAAATTTATCTAAAACAATTCGAATTCGTGGTATATCCATGCAGACACGCGTTTTCTTTATCACACGTGTCAGTAGCCCTTCTTACACCTGAAGTTTGGCCTTAGAAGTTTTGTTACTCATGGGTTGGGTTAGGTTAGGTTAGGTTAAGTTGCAGCAGTAAATATTCTTCTCACACGTCCTGGTAACAAAACTTCCCGCGTGTCTGAAACTTTGTTCCCACCATGTCCTTGTTGGAGAATATAGCACCTTAAAAGAAGAGTAGACAGTGGAAGAGAGAGAGAGAGAGAGAGGAGACGGAGACGTTAAACTAACCTTGTCATCCACTTCTCTCCTTCATCCCACTCTGAGTAATTCCAGGATAAGAAATTAAATATATTGGTGAAGAGGAAGTTTTGAGGGTAATGTTTCTTGGTTACCATAGATGTGTTAACGAGAATGATTTTAGCTACGTGTCTAGATAGAGTAAATTGTTAACGCTACTTTAACCCCATGTCTTGATCACTGTGTCTATGATGATGTAAGATACATATGAGAATGAGAACACTGGACTACGAGACGAAACTTTCTGTAGGTTCGTGTAGCGCCTGAGGATGTTCTGGTCCATGAGGAAGAAAGGTAAGAATGACAGTATTTTGCACGCCAGGTGACAACGTCAATCATGCTTCTCCTTGGCAAACTTTTAAGATAAGAGGAGGTGGTATTGTGTGGTGCCGGGGGAGGGGGGGAGGGCCTCATGGTCGTGTCTAGTTCCTATCACTATGCATTATATTAATGTTGTGTTGATATTTTTGTGTTTGGGATTTTTTTTTGCGAGATTGAAGAACAACATAAGTCTCTCAAATTAGGTGCCATTAATTTTATATAACTGTTGTATAAATATGTGTTGTGATATGATGTTCCTCCTTCCAAAACACGACCCGAGGAATTCAATTTGGTTTTCCTTCCCCACATATTGCAATACACGTCATGTTCCCTACCAATACATCTACAACATCACTCAACAAACCCATACATAACAAATCCCCACCAAATGCATCACTCACCACCACCACCACACGCATCCACTCTACAAACTGAATTAGTTGCCATACTCACAGCTATTAAATTCATTGAAACCACTGTTACTGACAGTCTCATCATCACTGACTCTCTATCCTCACTACTTGTCCTTGGCACCCTCGACTCAGGTTGTCACGCTCTTGTCTCTGAAGCCAGACACAAATATGCGTGCCTTGTTGACCGGGGTGTCAAGGTCAAACTGTTGTGGATCCCCTCTCACATAGGCCTCATAAAACATGACAGAGTTGATGCCCTCGCCAAACTCGCGTCTAACAAACACACCGTTGAATACAATTTGGGTCTGTCAAAAAGAACCCTTAAAACTGTAATTAGGAAAGAACTTATTGATGAGTTTGACGCAAGTAGACTAGTGCAAACAGGCACTAGTCGATCCATAGTTTACCATGATGAGATGTATCAAGTGAAACATGTATATGAGGCAAGTAACAAGATCACTAGATTACAAGATGTTGTAACCGCTAGATTGAGGTTAGGACATAAGTACCTTTGGCAGTATGTTCCTCAAGCAGATGTAAACAAAACTAAATGGCCACACACTTGAACACTACGTCCTCGACTGTGTGAAGATAGAACCTTTTAGGGACAGGTCCAAGCACACTGTATGTGAAATGGCACAACACTTCATCTCTAATGGCAAGATAGCCGACATATCAAGATTGTATCCACTTTTTTGCACTTAGTAACTATATCAGTTCTCATGTACAGAACCAAATACGCAATGAGCTTGAATACCTCCCACGTAAATGTAAATAACAAAGTGTGAAGCCTCATACGCCTGTACTCACGCATTTGTGAATAAGTTACCCTTTATGTATAGAACTAAACAAATAATGTAATTGAAATACTGTGTAACATTCAGTGCCATAATATCCTGACAACGGGGGTTAATTATTATGACCCGTTGTAAACTAGACTCTGTAATCCTTTTGCGCTACAGCTCACAGGATGAGTGTGGGGTGCACAATAAAGTAGCGGCTGTAAGCGGCAAAATCAAAATCGAAATCACAACACATCACTCACCACCATTTATACACTATCACACACACACACACCCACACACACACACACACACACACACACACCCACACCCACACACACACACACACACGTTACTCACCTCCCATCACAACGCAGGAGAGACGGAGTGGAGTTCCTTCATTAATGGGGCCAATCTTATGTCTCACCACCCCGTTGTCTGAGTTGTAGATGACCAGCTTCTCTGGCGGCTCTGTGAGGAGACAACCTGGTTAATGAAGGTGGAGAGAGAGAGAGAGAGAGAGAGAGAGAGAGAGAGAGAGAGAGAGAGAGAGAGAGAGAGAGAGAGTCTACCTACTTTAACTCATACATTAAATATTTCATTATTAATTTAGTGGCTGATGTACTGATGAAAAAAAATTATCTTAAATTTTGGAAAGGTCTACATTATTTATATTAGGTATTTCATTATGTATATTGTTTTGGATGAAATATTGAATAATGTGACACTATATTTATCGCTCCAGAGATATAAACATAATTTATTTTACAGATATAGTATTGTGATTAATTTCAGTGTAGGGATATATTATAAAATCACTAATACTAAAATGTAAATATTTTATGTGAAAAATATTTGCCTCATAAATACCATTAAGGTTCTTTAGTGTAAATATAAAAGTTTTATACATACTATAGCATACGTAGCAAGGTCTGGAGGGTATTGTAATGGTGCTTGTGTGTGTGTGTGTGTGTCCTAGTCACCCACGACTCGGCCTCCCCACAAATTAATGATGACCTTGTGGTACTGGCAGCTGGTCTTATCTCATGGTGATGTGTGAGTTGTATCTTTATGTATAACAAGAGGGGAAAGAGAAATGGCGCCACACAGAGAAAAACAAACGATATGAGTACAGTGAGATACATAGAAATATATTGGTTTTTGTTGTTCGTTCACTGTGGAGTTATTAAAAGTCACTGCGTATGTGAAAAAAACATTATATTGTTGAGAATATTTACTACTGTTTCAATCAATCAGCTGATGCGGATGTTTATAAACACTGCTTTGTCAGCCAATCACGAGGGAGAATTCATTAATGAAGTTCAGTTGTATGTAAAATATTTAGTTCCGGTCACACAAAGGTAAATATTGTTCATTATACACTGCAGAGAGGTTTGTGGTGGACAGTGATTTGTTTAATGCTCGTTAAGGTATCGCTACACTCACACACACACACACACACACACACACACACACACACACACACACACACACACACACCTGTTGTTAATAGCCTTTATAAGAAACATTGCTAAACACCTGAACAATACTCATTTGTAAACATGTTATTTACGTGAACAACAACAACAACAACCCACATCCTTGTTATGAAACATGACTACTAAATTACACAGAGTAGATGAGAGTCACATAAGGTGGAATAATCCCTGCATCTCTCTTCCTTCATCCACTGAAGAGGAACATTTGATATGGAAATTGAGATTGAGATTGTTACTGGTGGAGGAGAGTAGACCAATGAGGTGGTGGTGATGACTGACTCAGGACTACTGTATATCAACACATGGAGGAGGTCATTGAAAAAAACAAATATAAAATGATAATTACAGGAATATTTGGCTGTAATTTTGTAATATAACTCGGAAGGGTAATTATATATCTCTTTATATTTCAATTAGTATTCCATCTACATATTAGTTTCCATAATCTAATCAACTCTCTTTCGTCAAACCAGCAGTTAATGACATTCTATCCACCACTCAATTCCTCAATCGACCTTCACATGAATCATCAAATAAATAAATCTGAGTAAAAAAAAAACATACAGTTTCTGCCACACAGTTTACACACTGTTGGACACATATAATTAATCTTCAATATTCTGTTTGTGTCAGTTTGTATACGAGTCTATTTCGATATCAATTTCCAGTCTCCCAGTACAAACAAATATCTGTTTATTTGTTTGTACTGGAAAGGTAAAAAATATATATATATAAGAAGAGACAGAGACAAACATAGAGAACCAGAGATACAGAAACAAATTAAACAAGTCTCTGTAACTGGCCTGAGAGCTACCGCCACCGAGAGACACCTTGAGAGTACATCCGTGTGCTACTGAGGCGGCTGGTCCAGGATTTGTTGCTGGCGGTGAGGAAGGAACCGCCATGAACGGAATGTATACAAACTGTGTGTGTGTGTGTGTGTGTGTGTGTGTGTGTGTGTGGACAATCAAAGGGAAAATACACGAAACAAAATCAATAAGCCTAAGTAAAATAAATAAATAAATACAAGAATATGAAAGAAGTGAACAGAAGAGAATAAGGATAAAAGCAATAAATAGAAAATAGAAGATAAAATAAAACATGAAAAAATAAGTAGGAGGGGAAGAGGAGAGGGGAAGAGGAGAGGGGGAGGAGAGGAAGATAGGATTAAGAAGCCTTATGATAGAGTGGTCAGTGATCGATGGTGACCAGTGTGGCCAGTCCAGGGAGGCACGCCAGTCAAGGGAGGAAGGCAGTGAGTGTGGCCAGTCCAGGGAGGCAGGCAGGGAGTGTGGCCAGTCAAGGGAGGCAGGCAGGGAGTGTGGCCAGTCCAGGGAAGCAGGCAGGGAGTGTGGCCAGTCCAGGGAGGCACGCCAGTCAAGGGAGAAGGGAGTGAGTGTGGCCAGTCCAGGGAAGCAGGCAGGGGTGTGGCCAGTCCAGGGAGGCAGGGAGTGTGGCCAGTCCAGGGAGGCAGGCAGGGAGTGGCCAGTCCAGGGAGGCAGGCAGGGAGTGTGGCCAGTCCAGGGAAGCAGGCAGGAGTGTGGCCAGTCCAGGGAGGCACGCCAGTCAAGGGAGGAAGGGAGTGAGTGTGGCCAGTCCAGGGAAGCAGGCAGGGAGTGTGGCCAGTCCAGGGAGGCAGGCAGGGAGTGTGGCCAGTCCGGGGAGGCAGGCAGGTGGCCAGGTCCAGGGAGGCAGGCAGGGTGTGGCCAGTCCAGGGAGGCACGCCAGCCAAGGGAGGAAGGGGAGTGAGTGTGGCCAGTCCAGGGAGGCAGGCAGGAGTGTGGCCAGTCCAGGGAGGCAGGCAGGAGTGTGGCCAGTCCAGAGAAGCAGGCAGGGAGTGTGGCCAATCCAGGGAGGCACGCCAGTCAAGGGAGGAAGGGAGTGAGTGTGGCCAGTCCAGGGAAGCAGGCAGGGAGTGTGGCCAGTCCAGGGAGGCAGGCAAGGAGTGTGGCCAGTCAAGGGAGAAAGAGACAGAAACACAGACAGATAGAAACAGACAGACAGATAGACAGACAGACAGACATACAGACAGACAGACAGACAGACAGACAGACAGACATGCTCAAAGGAAAGACCCACATTTCCTTCTGAGATACCTACTGGTGGGTCAGAGAGGCTCTATAACAAGGGCAATTATTCTCAACAAACAGAAGTTAGAAATTCCCCCAAGCGACACAAGTTGTAGAGGTACTGGCGGAAAGTAAATAATTAAGGCAGTGCCGTGGGGATAATGATCTGTTAAGGGGGTTAAGGGATGGAGAGAGAAGGGAAGAATGAGAAAAAGTAAGAGGAAAGGTAGGGAGGTAGGGAGGGAGGAGGTAGGTAGGTAGGGAGGTAGGAGGGAGGGGGGAGGAGGTAGGGAGGTAGGGAGGTAGGGAGGTAGAGATGGTGTTTGGAGCTAATCAAGTTTGGAATAACATTTAACTTGTCTTGGAGTCACGTATTGAGTGTGCTGGAACCAGTGTTTTAGAAAGGGAAGGATAAATACAGTCTTCCTGTAGTTCTGGGTATAAAGATGAGGAGAAGGAGGGAAAGGAAAGGCGGTAAGAAGGAGAGAGAGAGAGAGAGAGAGAGAGAGAGAGAGAGAGAGAGAGAGAGAGAGAGAGAGAGAGAGAGAGAGAGAATTATACACACAAAACACATAGTACATATAACGATAAACAGAACATGAAGAAAAAAAACACGAGTCTGCCATGTGCTGGTACCATAAAAGAAAGTACCCCTTTAGGCAGAATGTGGGCGAACGTTCGTCTGGCGTAGTGACCATAAACTCGTCCTTGCAAGGTTGAAGGTAAGTGCCACACACACACACACACACACACACACATCTTGACGTTCGTGCTTAAGTTGTAAGTTGTTTTTTATGGTGGGGCCAAAATATACAGCGAAATGATGGAACTTGTGGTCTGCTTTCACGGTAAACTCACTTCACTCATCTTACTCACCTAACTCATCTTACTAACCTAACTCATCTTACTAACCTCACTCATCTTACTCACCTCACTCATCTTACTCACCTCACTCATCTTACTCACCTCACTCATCTTACTCACCTCACTCATCTCACTCACCTCACTCATCTCACTCATCTTACTCACCTCACTCATCTTACTCACCTCACTCATCTTACTCACCTCACTCACCTCACTCATCTTACTCACCTCACTCATCTTACTCACCTCACTCATCTTACTCACCTCACTCATCTTACTCATCTCACTCATCTTACTCACCTCACTCATCTTACTCACCTCACTCATCTTACTCACCTCACTCATCTTACTCACCTCACTCATCTTACTCACCTCACTCATCTTACTCACCTCACTCATCTTACTCACCTCACTCACCTCACTCATCTTACTCACCTCACTCATCTTACTCACTCACTCACTCATCTTACTCACTCATCTCATCACTCACTCACTCATCACTCTCACCTCACTCACCTCACTCATCTTACTCACCTCACTCATCTTACTCACCTCACTCATCTTACTCACCTCACTCATCTTACTCACCTCACTCATCTTACTCACCTCACTCATCTTACTCACCTCACTCATCTTACTCACCTCACTCATCTTACTCACCTCACTCATCTTACTCACCTCACTCATCTTACTCACCTAACTCATCTTACTAACCTAACTCATCTACTCACTACTCACCTCACTCATCTTACTCACCTCACTCATCTTACTCACCTCACTCATCTTACTCACCTCACTCATCTTCACTTCTCACCTCACTCATCTTACTCACCTCACTCATCTTACTCACCTCACTCATCTTACTGAGACACTATTCCAAGTCTTAATTAAAAGGTGAAATGAGTTCTGTTAAGTCAAGAGGCTATTTGTGATTCATTGTTTACCTGTACCTTAACCTTCTCTACGTTCTTGACTTTCTACTGTCTGGCTGTGTATCTGTGTCTCCTTTTCTCTCTCTTGTTCTTTCTCTTTTCTCCTT